GAGCCTCCATCCGTCTTCATTCAGGTGCACGTCTTCATTCAGGAGCACCGGCATGCTCTCCATCAGCTGGGATTGTACCTGGGAAATCTGATGAGAAGTGTTCACGTCTTGCTTTTTAAAGGCAGAGAATTTCACAGCATGTGCACAACAGCACATTTTCTTTTGATTTTCTTTTGTTTGGAGACCCCAAGTAATTCAACAGTGGTAGGGCAGTTAGGTCACCTTGATACTTCCTGACTCCACCTCAGTGGTGGAAGAATTACATAGACTCTTTGCTTAAAAAGAAAAAAGTAGTAATATCCCAGTGTAAAAAAAACTCAGCCACAAGTAAAATGATTGTATTCAATAATTTGCTTAATTAAAAGTAAAGTTTTATCAGGAAAATATACTTGAACTATCAAAAGTAAAAGCACAAACTATGTTGAATGGCCTCTTATGGATGTTGGCATTGATGCATTGTGGGTGGTCAGTTGGGATAATTTTAGCTACTTCACATGCTGTGGAAGCATTGAGTCTATTAAAAGGGACCATATTTGATTTGTTGGTTCTGTATCTAAAATGTGGACATGTAAAGAAAAGTCAGCCATCAAATAAATGTAGTGAAGTTAAAGTAAAACGTGGCAAAAAAACAACATCTCCGTGGAAAGTTCACATACTTCAAATATTAAACATACTTCACATCTTAAATATTTTTGTATTTAGTGTGAGAACATTGTTGCATGGTATTTTTTTGTATTTTGACACCCTCAGCAAAAGCCCTGTTCACGCGGGACCACTTCAGTACTTTTGTACACACTAGGGTTTAGTTAGGTCAGAATTAAAGAAAAATTATAATGATGATGATTATTGTTATTTTTACACATCCACCGCTGGGGTCTGTCACAAGATTTGTTGTAGAAATTAAGCACTAATCTTTCTTCCTTTAATTGTGTATGGGTTTTTTTTTTTGCATTGGTTTAATCTTTAAATTGCCAAATAGAAACATTTCTACACAGGCTTGCTTACATGAGACTAACGCTAACATGACTGCTACCATGTTCCTCAGGTGTAGGAGCAGCAACTAACAGAAGAACCATACAACCTTCACCTCCTCCAAACCTCAAACACACCATTCTTCATTAAATCCATTAGTCAGGATTATTAGAGAGGTTTACTGAAGCTCCACATCTGTTGGTGGTAGATATTGATTTTGAACCACCCAAGATAAACAACAAACCTCATCACTAACTCATAGCCATCTGATAAATGTATAAGCTCGTTTTCCACTGAGGTGAGTGCATGAGCAGAGTCCAGGGGACAAAAAAAAAAAAAATCAACCACATTAACTGAACTTCAGAGGAATTCCTCACTTTACATACGGAATGCACTTCAGGTCAAAGGGCAAAGGGCCAGAGGGGAATCCACTCGCAGCCAGTCAGGCAGGCGGGCCTTATTTAAACCAGTCAGGAACGACTGGTTTGGAGA